TGCCTACTTAAAGAAATCGTGTCTTTTTACGGGTCAGGGCATGCATGCGCTATTCATACTCCGGTAGGTACTGCAAGTGTCTTTAAGCAATTGCACCTTACAGAAGACAACAGTAAAATAACACTACCAATCTTTTGGTGGCGTTGTGTATCTGATGGTGAGTACTTAAGTAGGGTTACAGAGTCCCAGGGCCTCATATTGCGTGTCGGGTGACGGTGCAGGAGTATTGTCTGGTTTTTAGTGGCCCTGTTCAGGGCGTTAGGTAGGGACCTGTTTATTTCACGCGACCACAGAGCTGGCTGAAATGAACAGGGAGGAATCCTACATACCTTCTTCTCGCTCCCCCAGTAGTTGAAGGATGCGTAAAGCATTTCCCAGACACAAAAAAAGGGTTACAGAGTCCCGCGGGCTAGGGGATTCAGGTCGACAAGGTGAGGATGGCTGGTGCGGAACACCGACTGGACTCTACTTATACTTGCCAACAGGTGGGATGGGGTAATTTGTTACACCTCGTACAAAAAAAATAGTCGGAGCTCTTAATTAGAGGGGTCGGGTCTTATGCAAACCCATAAGCTATTTGTCACTCTTTTTAAGTAACCATTTGACATTTCAAAGGGTTTATACTCATTGGTCACTCATTAGTCAAGTTATTTTCATAAAATATTTTAGGCGCTGAGCTGACGTTTTATTTAGAGAACGTGGCCTTGAGAAACGGAAAAAAGTGATCATAGAAGGTTTCCGTTTTTCCTTTTCAGGTAGGGAACCCTGAAAAGGCTTATATGTATTTAAATGTGACTAACACTACCTACCTATATTATTATTTGTTACCTTTTCAAAAAAGAAAATTATTATTTTATTTTTAAGAGCTGGGTGTGTTTTTCAAAACACACAAAGCTCCGCCAATAATGTAATTAGTATGAATCGATAGATCTACGAAAAACTAGCCTTTTTTACTATGACACCGTAAAAAATATCCTGTTAGTCAAAAGATATGACACATAGGCATATTTATAGTATCTTTATTTTATATTATTAGTAACCATAATAATATGCCATATCGTACTATACAACCAGATATACGACAAAGCCTGCCGACCATCCTCCGCTTGCACTTACTGAGCCACCTCAAAACGGTTTACGGGGGTTGTGGGACTTGCAGTTGCAAATAGTCTACTCGTCTTACTTCGTTATGATTGTGCGCTCCATGTCACTTGTTTGTTTTTTTATCTAACACACTTTGGACATTGGAACACGATTATCGTTTTTGTCAATTAGTATGGATGAACTGGAACCAAGTTTTCTCCGAAGCGTGGACAAGTTTGTGTGATTTGTGGTCGCTCCGTCCGTTTTACATAGAAGACAATTTACTGTAACGAACAGACTATTTGAAAAAAAAACAACAACATTAAGTTTTTGGGATTGACTCTAGCGCGGCAGAATAACATAAGGATTTATGTTCATTCGTTATCTATACTTATAATAAATCTGTAGAGAGGTCAATTCTGTACATGAAATATATTTTCAAAATAACTATCAGGGAGTGATTAGTGATCGATACTGATGCCAAAAGTGCAATCAGTAAAATTTTTGTCTGTCTGTCTGTCTGTCTGTCTGTGTGTATGTTCCTTATAGAAACAAAAACTACTCGACAGATTTTAACGAAACTTGGTACAATTATTCTTCATACTCCTGGGCAGGTTATAGTATACTTTTCATCACGCTACAATCAATAGGAGCAGAGTAGTGAAGGGAAATGTTGGGAAAACGGGAGAAGTTACTCCATTTTTTAAGCTTCCGTCGCGTGTGCATCCTTAATGGTTAAAGTTACATAGAAATCATGTATGACGGAAATATTCTACATAAAATTGTCTAAAAAATATCCCGCAACAGAATAATGTCTATCTTTTATGGTTGACTCACAATAACACGTGTAACTCCTGATAGCTTAGCAGTTCGGAGCATTCTGATTATATTTGTTTACTATTACGTTTATAATACTCTCATTCATCCCTAATTTAAAAAAGTTAACATTATTACCTATTCAATAAAAAAAGAATCATAGAAATCGGTATAGAAACACCAAACTTATACATGAAATAAGCCATCGCGCCGTCGCACGTGAATACTGAATCATGTTATAAGGATTATTTTTGTGTAACGGTTGGAAACACTGATAATTTTAGAGGTTTTTAATGTAGGGTCGTAAATAAACACATTTTTTTGCGCTTACATTGCAAACGCTGGCTGAACCCTACGAGATCGATCAAAATAATGTACTACAGTATTGTATACCTTAAAAATGTCTACAAAAAAGTCCACCATGGTATCTGTCTATCTCTTAGGGATAACCCACAATAACCATTGTATATCCTATACTTTTTACGAGATATAATAGATTATTTACGAAGCGATTTTCAGCAATATAACATTCTTGCTTATCTAATTAAGTACCTTAAATACATTGTGCATATAATATAGACCAATTTGGCTATTTAACGCATGTAATTTAAATGAATATTTTCGAAGATATTACAGATTTAAAATGCAGGGACATAGCGGTTCCGACAAACCGGGCGGGGGGCCTGGCGGCGCGTGCCTATTGTAATTAGGTAATAGAAGAATGTCATTGTGTATAAATACAGGGGCCCAATTCTCGCGGCATAGATATTATATCACCTTCGATATATATCGAATGATCTGGCTTTTATCGAAGGAAAACCTTTTTGCCCTATTCTCACCATGTCGCAATAGATATTTATCTACGGATGATCAGTAGACATACATCGACTGGTAAAGAGCCTTCGATATATTTAATATCTATGGATCTTGGCATGTCAATCTTATTATTTCCACTTTTTTTACCTATTATTTATTGTGTTGTCGTGTGTCTTTGCCAATTATTGTACCTCAAGACGTTGTTAACTGCTTTCATAAATAATTAGTAAATAAAGAAGTAGGTAAATAATGGTGTCGATTCTGGCGTGATTCTCTAAAGTTAAAACTAAATTTAATATCAGTCTCTCTTTTTCATACTGTATAGAGAATGACAGGGAAACACTGTTGTCAAGTTTAAGTTTAGATTTAGAGAATCGTGCCAGAATCGACACCAGTTTATATTAACGATGGATGAGTTGATTCATGTTTTCGTCAATGATTTAATAAATGACGTGATTGCTGCTGCTGTGCTAAGGCGCCGCCGTTGTGAGAGCAAGAGGGCCCATTTGAAATGAGGGACGCCGACTTCATAAAAAAATTACGTTTAAACAAAAATTTGGTTAGAAATCTTTAAAGTTATGAATGACATTGGTATCGATTCTGACACAATTCTCTAAACTTAGAACTAAATTTAACATCAGTCTCTCCTTTTCATTCTGTATGGAGAATGACAAGGATACACTGTTGTCAAATTTACGTTTAGGTTTAGAGAATCATGCCAGAATCGACACCATTTTCTTATTGACGATACGGAGTTTTGGCGGGATTTCTGCGAGTGCGGTTGGCATCTTATTTTAATTATTCTAAAATTCGTTCATAGTGGATATTGTGAAATAAAATTGGTGTAATTTGGTGTTACAACCGTCTGCGCAACTGAAGAATTAGTGGAATCTTTAAAATACACGCTATTCCGGTCAAGTGGACTCGAGAACTTTATTGTAGTGTTGAATACCTCACAGAAGCTTAGAGAAAAAGCCAACTCCATAAATTTCGTGCCAAACACTCCAAGAAACATTAGAATGCGTCACACCGACATTCGAATGTAAAAAAAAGAAGATTAATATAACTAAAGACTAGGCTTTATGGGCATTGTTCCATTTGCCTTCCCTGAAAAGGGAGAATCTTAAATAATATTGACGTTTCATTATACATAACGTCGAAATTATAAACGCATACAATTTAGGTGAAGTTGAGATTTCTTATACTCAAAAAATGTATACTTATATTTAATATGAATGGAATTCATAAAATATCATTTTGTTGCTTGTAAAATTCTGCTCTAATTTATTAATATTTTATATAGACTATGATGTTAACTTAATCGAGAAAAACGGAACGCATTCGGCAGTGAAAGAATATCTACGATAGATATAATATCATTGGAATATCGAAAATCCACGAGAATAGCATTTTTTACCATCAGTAGATATTTTCAATAGATATCCCTACTTTCGATATTATCTCGAAGCCGATATAATATCTACGCCGCGAGAATTGGGCCCCAGGCCTGAGAACAAAAACTATAGTCTACACTACAGCTCTACACCGAAGCGAAGCGCGGGCGGGCTACTAGTAGTACATATACCTATTTAACTTAAAATCATTACTATTATAACTTTCAAACAAATTTAGTTTAAGCCATGGCGGACGTGGGTGGACACTGCGTCCATACATTTTTATCCAATGTAATTTTCCGCTCGAATTGAAGGTCTCGTCTGGGGAAGTAACTTTCACCTTACGGAAGAAAAACACATTAAAATAATATTTTTTTGGTGGTGTTGTGCTTTTGTCGATGAGTAAGGTTCTATATGGCACGGGGGATTGGTACAGGGTAGGCAACGGCTCGAATGATATTAATTCTGGTATTGCAAGCGTCTATAGGCAATGGTGGCCGTTTACGTTTACGGGCTATACGTTCATTTGCCACCCTTTTAACGTTAAAGAAAAGTATTTCTCGGCTATGATTTTGTAAGGAGGAACATTCGTGCACTGTTATTCGTATGAATAAGACTTGCTTCTGTGTTTTGGAGTGATTGCTGATATCGTGGAGAGGTTATACATAGTGGTACTTTTAGTTTCCGAAAATCAACTCAGCCGCAAATATTTCTTATTGAGAAATATATGACTACAAGTAAAATATTTTAACGATCTCGGTAACATTTCCGATGTGATTGTAAATTTTCCTTAATTTTCTGGGAGTAGGAAATATTAAATTTACTCTGATAAAGAATAGTTTCCCTGCGCACGTTCTTAAATAAAGAGGTTTTTAAATAAAACAGAACCGATGTCCTTTCATATATATCCAATTTAATTTTGATTGATGTAATTGAATCGAATAAACATTTAGCCAATATCATCATCACCTAAGCTGATACTAACTGTTCGTGTGAGCGTAGTGATACAGTTTCACCATAGACCTTATCAACATTAATAAAAAATATTTACAATATTTGGAAATATCATCACAGCTTCACAAAACAAGCATAACATGGAACAACAAAACAATCCAAGTTATTACAACTATCCGACTAAAACTATAAAAACAAGAGTAGTTTCAGATACTTCAACAGTGATGTATCTTTGTAAATGCGTAAATACTGTAACATAACACTAGTAAGCAACATGTCTTACCATATTGGAAAATGTTGACAATATAAATTGTATTCAATAGAACTTTGTAAATATATAACCTATGTCGGAGAATTAATCTAAAAATATGAAAGCAAAATTCCAGATTTTTTGATAATAATAGAAATAGTACTTTAAACCCTTTTAATGCACTGTCAATATTGGAAATAGTAATTTGTAAAAAGTAGAAACGAAGTTAACGAGTACTGAAAATATGAAAAACTGATATTTGATTTAGAAGCCAGTTCTTAGCATAAGACTAGTACATATATTAATGTTATACTGTTACTCTATCGATGAAAAAAGTATCTTTAGAAAGTATACTGATTAAAAAGTATACTAATAAAAAAGTATACTGATTTGAAAAGAAAAAATAAATCTAGAACATAAATGAGAAAATAATGAACGGTAAATTGTAGTACGAGTAGTATCATTGAACAAAAGAAGAAATGCGGCTGCTTATGTAAAAACTGAGAACTAAACAAAAAAGTAAAACCTGGTGATAAGTACTCGTATCAGAATTTAAAAATGAGTATAGTAATAATTCCAAATAAAGTAATAATAACAATAATACAAACGAAAATATAGGATACTTTCCTGACTTTTTTTTTATGTTTATGTGATTTCTTTGGTAAGACATATTTCTTACACAATTAATATTGGGAGCGGTTTAAAAATCTTATTCGTTCACACTAACACTAACCAATCTTTGGATTGAGGAAGTATTATTACTTAAAACATAAGAGAAAAATGGAATGTGCGTAAATCTATGATACAAATCGATTTTATTAAAACGATTCACTATATAGTTAACTAGTTGTTTATTTAACTTTTGATGTTCTACTATTATGTGCAATATAATATCAGTACTATCATAACTATTTGACTTCATTAATTACACAAAAAATTTACAAGTAATATTATAACATTGAATACCATTATAATTATTATTATTAACCTCAACTACTAAAACTACATCTAGATATAATTTCAGTGTAACTTCCAAATGAGTATCCATTTAAAATTATGTAAATGATCGTATCAGATTATTATTTTACATCTAAACTAACGATATAATAAATAGAATTGAGTTTTTAGTCTTATATACATTCAAAGTACAAGTGAGATTCATCATACTCAATTACTTGTGTTTCTAGTTTTATACAACATGTACAAAAACGCAAAGGTTTGAAAGGTTAACCAAAAAACCGAGTAAGCAAATTTTTGCTTGTGGCATCAAATGTCCAATAGTTAAAAATAATAGTGTGTTATACGTCCGTTACGACTTTAATACTAAGATGGCACTTTATACCATAAAAGAATCAGATTCAGTCTTTAACTATGATATTCTGGCATCACAAATGAAACTATATTTTGAGGAAAAATTGAGAATTTTAGACAATCCTGTGAATAAACACTTTACACCATTTTACGCTCGGTAATAGCGTGATGACCGGCATGTGAGTAGTGTGATGGAGATGATGGTTCGTAAAGGGACATTTTCAATCTTTTACATTTCGCTCTCCGATTTTTGAACCAAAATTGTACGTTCTTAGATTCGAGCCGAGGAAATTTTTGCCTGTAAGGCATCCTATTTAGCTCCTCTGTATACTTGAGAATAAGATTGTGCGACGGATGGGTGTTCATTGAGAACCATTGTTCAAGAACTGGGACTTCAGATACAGGGTCTATAAAAGTGCGGTTTCGTTTGCGGCGTTCATCGGAAGCACCAGCTAGGGCTAAATTGAGTCCACTAGCTCCTTCCCCAGGAACCGCACCGACACCTGGGAATCCACTCATGTATTGGCTCATGTACATTATACCGTGTCCAAACATCGGATGATTTGGCACCATTGGAAATGGTAGGCGATCGAGATGCGGAGAAGTCGGCCTGTAATGACGTTCTTGGACCACTTCGTCATCAGATACGTCGTGGTCATCGACATTTCCGTTTTCTTCTTCGTTGTTGTTATTGTTGTTGTTGTGAGAGCTGTCACTGTTTTTTGCTGGCGAACGCTGTGGTGAGCTATTCTGATCTGGCTTACTCAAATCCCTTGGCTCTTGTTTGATGTCATGTACCTGTTTCAAATAAAAAATAACCTTAATTAATATCACATCTCAATTTATGGGTACATATTAATAACAATATTAGATAATTATATTGGTCTTCATAATTGTTAATAAATAATGGTTACCTTAATTATATCCGGGGGTTTTGGCGACTCTTGAGCTCTATCCTCATTGTCATTACTATTTTTCTTCGTAGTTATCAATGACAGTGGGGCGTCTGGACTTTCCGGCCTATCATCTGGATTTAAATCACCACCGTCATCTTCTAGATCAGATCCTCCATTTGACAAATTATCTTCGGATATAACAGACATTGGATATCTTCCAGGACTGCCCGACATTTGCATTGGACTTTTCATAGAATTTTGATCTTGTGAGGTATAACTATCATTGCCCGTCATCAGAGATCCGTTGGTTGGGCTATGACTTCTGCTGTTAAAGCCATTTACCCCAAGGTGACACCCTAGTCCACCAATGTTACGGAGTTCAGCACGTTTTTGTGCAGCACGAGCGTTTTTAAACCAATATACGACGTTGTTAACGTCAAGTGGCTTACGACCCCGTCTAGATTCAAGATTATTTAGTTCGCGTACATATTGCTGTATTTGCTGTCGACTCGGATGTTGATTTTCGGAAAACCATCGCTGCAGCTTTGGCAGTTCCAATTCTGGGTCAAAACTTGTTCGCATTCTAGTCTTTTGTGTCGGATATTGACTTTGAACGGTTTGTAAAGCCGGGTGTAAATGGTCCGGAATTGTGTTCAGTGTTGGTGAGCGATTTTTTGGGCCTGGAGAAGGATATCGACGAGGGCTGAAGGGGGGCGGTCGCGGCGATACCTGTGCACTCCACCATGACTCAAACTTCCGTCTCATCTCCTCAGAAGGCTCATGGAAATTGTGAGGTCCTGGAGTTCTATCTTGCCCTCTGCATATCTGAGATAATGTCATCTGTAACAACGAAATAATGTTTTTAGTTTATATTTATCTTCAATAGTGCGTAGAAAAAATGAAATGAACAGGTTCTTATTTAAAAGAAGTCAGTCTAACCAGCTTCGGATTCATAGATAATTTTTTGAGTAAACGCCGTGCATTGTTTCACAAAACATCGCCATTAGATTATGAAAATATAAGGTCAGCTGTTAATGTATGTGTCATGCGCAAGCGGCCGCGGTTCTTACGAGCAGAGAGATGTTTGCACTGTGGTTAGTACGCATCATTCTCGCGCCGCCGAAACTTCAATCATAGTTGCTCTAAAACAATAAGCGGCAAGGGTGGTTCAACAATTAGCATCCACCTACGGTGCTTTCAACAATCTCCAGCATACCGATATGAACTAAGTGGTTCTACTTAAACGTTACGGTGTTAACGTATTAGAGGCGCCGCCGTTGCTACGATACATTTAGCCGACGAATAAACTCCACACCAAAATTATTCCATTACATGTTTGAATTTCATAACTATTTGCTCAGACGATAACATGTTTAGATTGGTTTTAATAGCGCAACAAGTAGTCATTCAAAGAACTAGTCGGATTATAGCTTCGCGCCGGAGTTTACCTAGGTTGACGTTATGCAAGTAAGATCTGCCCATATCACTAGATTACACAGAACAATGCCAGCGATTACGTCGTCAAGCGAGTTGTCAGGGCTCAGTTTGCGTTTCAATTGTTGCTAAATCAAATGTTAAATTAAGTGTGTGTAACACATCGAGATTGTGCCTATAAATCATGTCAACCGTGAAGAATTAGCGCCGAGTGCGAGTGATACGCTAATCTGCCTCTTTGTTTTATATTTTTAAATAGTGAGGCCATATTTGTTTTCAGATAATGTCTGTGTTTCTAATGCGGGGAAGATTTACGAGATCTGGCGCCTGCGAGTGATAACTCGTGTCACTTGTAATCCGTATAAACACGTACGTAATGCGGTGTGTATTGCGAACATTACTTACTTGATACTAGCTTGGTGGAGAGGACATATTAGAACGCAATGGGTTTAGTCTTATCTGATATTGTTTTTATAGTAAATTTAATGCATACATTTCTTAATTGTAATCAGTGAATTAATTTATAAGCTCTCATTAGCCTTGGAACAATGTAAGCGTAATGTAGAAGCAGATTTTTAATCAAAATTGTTTTTAAAAGATTTATAGCACCAACTTAATCTTCCAAAAACCTGTCTTTTAAAAAACCCCTTCGATAAAGTGTATTCGAAGCGTTCAAAAGTTTCCCACAAAGTTGAAATCGAAGTGGCGCAAATTGGCATGCAATAAATTACCATAATATCGCAGAGCCGAGTTCATCTGCTGTTTAGCTACCAACTTCGTTGTTCAGGTTGTTTGATTATCTTGCCCGGTCGCGAGTTCCTTTGGTTCATTTGCAAATTTGAATGCCGTAAGTTGAATTTGTGTTCAACGCTTTCGACTTTATTGTTAGCCAGCGATAGAGTTGCGAACTTCTGTTCCGTAAAACGGCGTACATTAGTGGCCCACTTAAATGTCAATGTACAACCTAAATTGAAAACGCGAACCCGACAGGCGGTTAAGCTTCGAGGGCGCATCGAGCGCTAACCTCGCGTTTAATAAGATTATAAAGCATTATTTTATGGTATTAATAAGATCAAAAGCGTTCGTACATCTAAAACTCCTTTTAACCCTCTTTCAAGGCTCAAGTCGGCAAGACGAGGGCTGCCCCCCGCCCGCCCTAACCCGTTCGCAGCGTGGATATTTAGAAAATATAATAAGGCCTCGCGAGGCGTGGATGAGTCTGCGATTCAATTAAATTTATTATGTATGGAGATCCTGCGTGTGAGGCAGGTGCTCAGAGAGAGCTCGACTAATTGCTGTATCTATCTCAGAGATGGAGATTTAAACGTCTTTATGAGCTGAATTTATATTATGTTTCTATAAGTACCCTATTCATTTCTTAAGAATGGTGAAGCAAACTGATATTATTTTAATATTGATACCAAACTTTATAGGTTTACAATTTTCGTTTTAAGAAACATATGTTTATTTGTACTCAATAAAATATTTTGGTGTTTATTTGTTGTAGAAGTCAAAATATTAATCGTATATACTTAATAAAATAGGATCCGCTAAGATAATCCCATCTAATAAAATGTACTAATAATAGAAATAATGGCATCTTGCATGGAATATACCGATTCCTGAAACGAAGATAACTTTTGTAAAATAACAAACAACACCCTTACAGCAGTATTAAGACATGCAAAATTTCTATTAACAGTCGTTCCTTTTGTTAAGACGCGGAGCAGCCGCGAACATCAAAACAAATGCTTCCTTAATTCTTCCCCTCGCGATGATCCTTATTAGCAAGGACTTAGGCATAACCTCGCAAATTATAACGACCTCCCAAATTGTATGAGAACATTCGTCTACTTAACGAGTTTTATAATCTGTCTCCTTAGAGCTTGGCCCAATGATGAGAGGTGAGTTGGTACGACTTTAATGTGAGATACATGATGAACGTAGCACCAACATTATTCTTATTTATATATATCTTTCGAGATATTGTTAACATTTCTTCTCTTAATTAAAAAACCAAAATCTCTTTGGCATTAAAATTTTAATACTGAACGTTATTATGAATCTTCAAAATACCGTTTGGGAGCCCCCTACACAGCAGTAGTTTTGTGTACCACAATGTACCTATGAAATAACTTTGAATGGAGATCTGGCGGGCGGTTTAAATATGGAAACAATACGTCCTACGATAATAAGGGGGTAAAGGTTTAGACCGTAGACTATTGTGACGCGGCCGGGGTTACCAAGCATTAAAGAACATCACAACGCCGCGCGGAACATTGTCGACGTTGGTTTAGCTCGTTGTACCGTGAGTGTTTTGTTGAATCATGAATTTGGATGATATTTAAGCCTCCATGGTTCACGTGATTCGATTTGACAGGTGCTTTTGAACAAGTCCGATTGGTTCGCGGGTGAATAATGAAATCAAAGCTTTTGGTAATTAATCACGTTACACACCACGGATTGGTGTAAATAAATGCGAGAATTTGTTCACGACATTATTTCGTTATTATCAATAGACTGTGTGAATCACATTGGAATGTTTAAATTAAGAGTAACATAATTTGCCTTATATTATTAATCCTGTATATACATTTTAACATTATTTTTTGTGGCTTACGTAACACAGATCTACCATAATTATTGGAAACAGAAAAAACACATTTTAAATGAATTGATTGATATTACAACAACTATATTATTGAGCGTGCATCTGACAAACGATGGACGAATTTACATCCCAGAAGCTTGATAGCGAGTGCCAAGCGCGAAAGTTCGAAGCACATCATGTCCTAAGATAGTTTATTATTATCTACATGGAAAAGTGGTAGATTCTGATAAGCAAATTAGACAACAATGATGATGATCTGCCACTAGATGAGTGAAGAATATTTTCTTTAACTCAATGATCAGGCTCGGTAAACCATCGATGCTCTGCAATCTTTAGCATCCCCCAAACATCCAAAACCACTACAACATACACACACACACACACACACACACACACACACACACACAAATCACACTACTGCACTGCTGGACTCGCCTTCCTGTTTAACTAAGAGAAAGATTTATAGACCCACGTAGTAGGGACCGTAATACCCTGACAATTAAATCGGCACAGGACCGCTCAGTTTGGATATCCTCGGGGGAGGCCTATGCTTAGCAGTGGGCGTCGTACGGCTGATATGATGATGATGAATTACAAAGGAAACAGCTTACCTCATCCAGCGGGCATCCAGTCGACATGAGGAGTGGCCGGTTCTGGACTAGGAGCAGCCTGAGTAGCTTGTCCTTGATGTCTTGCAGTGGTGTAGGGCGTGGTCTCAACAACTGTATACGCAGGGTCGCCACCGTAGTCAGCTCGCCAAGCACCTCGCCGACCGTCGCCAATGGCCCCTCGGAGATCCTCTCGAATGGCAGTGGCTTCCAATTGTTGATTACAACGGAACCTAATGGGAAAAAAGGTGAGATTACTTTAGGAACGGCTTTAAACATCTACGATACTACTTATGAATCAGTTCTGCCCCCCTAGCAAGAGCACCGCGGTATGTTAAATAGGTCGTTTTTATCACGCTCAATTGTCAAATCAATATGGAGTTTGACAGTTAAAAGCGATAAAAAACGTCTTAAAGTGTAAATAGTGGTGCTCAGGCTACAGGGATTGATCTTCCCCATAGTTAAAAAATAAGCCTATCTTTTTCAGAATTAAACACTTTTGATCAGCGGGCCAATAGCTAATAGAATTGCTATGGCTATCACTATCGATAACGATTTCATCTTGTTATTTCTGACTGCCGAAGGTATTCAAAAGCATCGCGCTCGTTTTTTTTCTTTTGCTTTGGTAATAACAATATTATAGAAAATGAGCGTGAGGTTTTGAAAACCTTCGGTGGTCAGAAATATCAAAACAAAATTGTAAGCGATAGCGATAGCCATAGCAATACGGTCTGGCAATAGGGATGATGACTAATTTTTTTTCTTCGTTTATCAGGTAGATTATCAAAAAGTATTGGACACGTATTTTTTTCTTTTTTCACATAATATAAACATTGCAGAGATATATTGATTTGAAAAGTCGCATGACGTCACGTTTGAGTACACTTATAAGTGAAAATTCACTCAAAAGTGATGTCACGAGCCCCTACTCCCAAACTTTGACGCGCTATAACTTTGTCATTTTTTGGTTGATTGCCCAAAGAAAAAATACGTGTCCATTATTTTTTGATGTCTAAGTGACGGACTAAATAGAATTTTGTTTACTGTACCTCGTCATCACCCCTATTGACTTGTTTCGCATGCGTATAAATGCGTATTTTTTACACAATTACTGGTGTTACGGATGGTTTTCAGCAAGGATAAGGTTCAGAAATAACACAATTGAGTACCAACTTTATCTGCTTTACTTTCAATCATCAGACCGATATAGGAAACTATATCTATGGTTATAAACCTTTTGCATACAACATTTAAAAATCCTGCTATCCGTTTATTACAAACACCTCCTTGTCTTTTATATACTCCATGTAGCAATGTATATTTAAGAGCTTATTATTATTATATTATTTTATTTATTAGATGGCCGCTTACCACCAGGCGAGCCATAAGCTTGTTTGTCACCCTTTTAATATAAAAAAAACACTGTGAGAAATATGTGCTTATATCGATTGGATTGATACTTTTTGTTGGCCTCAAATATTTTCACTTGGTAATTAGTAGAATTTTACCTTTCGCGGAGGCAGCCAGCTCTTGCGGGTATCCTAGCCGCATCATGGCAGCCGGCACTAGGTCATGGAAGGCCGTCGCCGAGGGTATGATGACGTAGCTGTCTGTTTCCACCAGGGCGCGACGCCTCCACGCACCCTCTTCGAGAGAAGACACTGCCTCCACAACGCAGTGAACTGGCAAAGTTTTTCCTGTGACAATTAGAAAACGGATCGTTATTGTTTTGTTTTAAACTATACTTTTACTTACTAGCAATCGTAAGTTGAAGAGCTGGATGGCACAAGTGGTTAGCACGTTCAGCTGAGATCGATCAATCGAACTTTTGTAGGAATCGGTAATTGGATGGGTGACCAAAAATTTGCTATTCGAGATAGCAAATTTTTGGTCGAGGAGCTCGAGCTCCTCCGTGCTTCGGAAGGCACGTTAAGCCGTTGGTCCTGGCTGCATCTGCAGTCGTTATCACCCACCAATCCACACGGGGCCCGCGTGGTGGATCATGGCCCAATTTCCCTATTTCATCCATAGGGAAGGCCTCTGTCCCAGCAGTGAGGACATTAATAGGCTGATGATGATTATGATGAACCAGATGAAGAAAATGAGAAACGTTGAGAATTAAATGCGGATGTTTCCAAATTTTTTGGTGGATTTTCAATCGATCAAAATTATGACACAACTAAAAAACACAATCAGTATGGAATCGATGAAACCGTTCTAAATCTATTAAAATCAATTGTGGTTCGTTTGTCTCGCTAAAACTCGAGAACGGCTGGGTCGATTTAGCTGACTTTGGTTTTAAAATGTTTGTCGTAGTCCAAGGAGGGTTTGAATTGTGAGAAAATATGGAAAAATTGCGATGAAGATAGTAAAAGCAACAACTTCATTTTCCCATATAAACTGTTCTATCTTCTTTCCTGTCAAAAATGCCTGATATGACTGATCAAAATTTTCACCCATTTTAGCGAAGGGAGAGATAAATGTCGTTAGCACCTATCCTAACGACATATATATACGACGTACACTGGTCACCTAGTAAACAAATAATCAAAATATCAATAAATACTCCGTCCTATATATTATATAATAAAGGAGCTGAGAATATTAATGAAAAAAGTATATTATTATAGACAAGGCGCGAAGGATCCGTTCGAATGAAAGCGCCGTTCTGGGGAGGCGACTTTAGAGACTACTATAGCCAAGTAAAAAAACTGTTATCCAAATATCCTAGTCCGTTATTTATAAATAAGTTCTATTTTCAGTTTTAATTTTTCGTCCATATATTATAATTAAAAGGTATTTACTGGCATGATCTTCATAAAAAAATACAAATTATTCCTGTCTGTCAATTTTCATATGAGACAGGCAAGGATGATAATCTGATCATGAGTCTTTACTCAATGAACTAAAAACTAAAAAGACTTTAAATAACAATATGACTATCTAAAACCATAAACGCCAGGCAAAGTCGCAGACTTTCCTCGAGACAAAAATTACTTTTCGTAATATGACTTAGAGTCGCCGGCCATAAGTTAAGAGCTTAAATAGAAAGGAAAAACTTGGGACGTAAAAATCAGTCACTTAAGCGACGTAGACGTTTGAAAAGCTGTCGTTAAGGAGGCGTTTTAATTATTAAGTACCTTTTCAAGCGAGAGAGGAACGCTTTTGACTGCTCGCGGGACGGCAAAAAACCGACTGAAACGTTAAAATAATAAATTAATCCTTTCCGCGTGTCTTGGGCGTGTCGGCCGAGAGATCTCTTTGTCGACCGATGCTTTTACCGTACTTCTTTGAGCGAAATCTTCAGCGCGAAATTAAATAGTTTCTGCCGCCTTGCATCATGGCTTTTTTCAACGTTGAGTGCTACGTCTGGACTCTTTATTGGACTTCTGGCGCCGTTTTCTTATGAACGCGAATTCTTACTAAGTAAATATTGCAATTTTATAGAAAAGTCCTGAATTTCTTTAAAACTGTTAAAAATGTAAATTGTTTTAGTTTTATTAGGTCACTATTGTTTCATATCTATAAAAAACGAGCCTTACAGTAATTGCGTACGATGTGTAACATTTGAAACCTCACCTTATATTAGTAAAAAAGAAATAAAACCTACTACAAAAGGAATAAGCCATTTGAACATTATGCTCTAAAATCAAATCAAATAGCGCGCGCTTTCGCGACTTCCTGTTACACACTTCCGTCCCATTTCACGAAATCACTTCCACAAATTGCAGGAAAACTGGAAAGATGTTACACATCAATATAATATTATAAAGCTGAAGAGTTTGTTTGTTTCATTGTTTGGTTGAACGCGCTAAACTCAGGAACCACTGGTCTGATTTGAAAAAATCTTTTTGTGTTGGATAGTGAGTGATCGATGTAGGCTATAGGCTATACACAACATCACGCTGCAGCCAGTAGAAGCGGAGCATCGATAAAGAATGTTGTGAAAACGGGGAAATAATATTCCGTTTGAGAGCTTTCGTTGCGTTCGCTGCGTAAATAGTTAAAGTTACACAAAAATCATGTTTAACGGAATTGTCCCTTAAACTTAAAGGTAAGTTGTATGAAAAAAAGTCCGCGACAGCATATTTCCATCTTTTAAGTTTGTCTCGCCTGTATTCTTTTTTCTAGAATAACCATATTCATCAACTGTTAGACGACACGAAGTTTGCCGGTCCAGCTAGTGTAGTATAATAAATAAATAAAGAATAAATAAATAAATATTTCCAACAGTATCACCAATTAGCCTAGCCCCAAAGTAAGCACTGTAAGGCTTGTGTTATGGGAGACTATGGTAACGGATAGAATACATATACTTTATATATATCTAATATATAAAATTCTCGTGTCGCGGTGTTTGTGGTTAAACTCCTCCGAAACGGCTCGACCGATTTTCGTGAAATTTTATATGCATATTTAGTAGGTCTGAGAATCGGATGTAATCTATTTTTCATCCCCCTAAAGGTTAAGGGTAATCCACCCCTAATTTTTTTTTCAATTTTAGATATTTTTTTATTTTTTTTTTATTTTTTTATGATACATCAAACAAAAATTTTTTATGACCCCTATTTTTTTATGGCGGTACGAAGTTCGCTGGGACAGCTAGTATATATATACATATATATATATATATATATATAAGTATATTTATATGGAAATACATCTATGACTGGAGAACAAATGCTCGTATTCATCACACAAACATCGGCCCCCACCGGGACTCGAACCCCGGACCTCTCGACGACATCATGAAACCAAGCGTACAAAGCACTCGGCCACGGAGGTCATCAAAAATAAATTATAAGTATAAAATTATAATTGCTAGTATACCCTTGATAACTGAAAACGCATGAGCTCAATCGTACTGAGTGAGTTTAATAATAACGTCATTTTTATGAAAGTAAAATTTCATATAATTATCCTTAAGTACTTGCTCGACATGCTGAAGATCAGCTGCCAGGTGTTGTTCGTCACAGACACCCCGTGCTCTCTGAAACAAAGAGAGCGAGAGAAAGTTCTGTGACGAACAACACCTGGCAGCTGAACTTCAGCATGTCGAGCAAGTACTGAAGGATAATAACCTGAATGTACCACGTCGCCGTCACAGTCGCGCCAAACCTAGCACAGTCGACCGACAACCTGCTATACTACCTTACATGAAAGGAGTCACTGACAAGATTGGGAGGATTCTGAAGCGTGCTTCAATCAATACATACTTCAAGCCGCCAAAGAAGATCAACTAGTTTCTACGACCGGTCAAGTGCAATATACCCTTTCAAGTTGCTGGTGTCTACAAACTTGAATGCGACTGTAGGCTCTCCTACATCGGGCAAACAAAGAGGAGTATAGGGACTCGGGTAAAAGAACATATCGCAGATATGAAACATAGGCGCGAAAATAAATCTGCAGGGTGTGAACATGCATTAGGGGGACCAAACCACTACATTAGATTTGATAGACCACAGATCCTTGCAGCTGAGCGGCGGTTCGTTCCTCGAATGATGCGTGAGGCTATTGAAATTAAAAAATATCCAAATGTCAATAGGGAAGATGGTTGGTATATACCACCAGCTTGGGAACCTATTATACAGGAGATAAAATCCCAACCCCGAGGACACACGCATGGTCTTGCAACCATCAGATACTATTAGTTCTTTTTGTTTGCATAATTTAACATAAGAAGGAGATAGAAAGCCTCTCTTGAGTTTGTTTCGCCGGTTCTTCTCAGGAAGGTCTCCCAATTTTGGAACCGGTGGTAGTTTACGGTAGTTAGGGTCAAATAAATAAACTCAAAACTACAAACAAGAATTTTAAATAAAATACTTTATTAAGTAAATTAAATAATAAATTCATACATCTTTATATATATAATTCTTCTGTGAGTGTGTATGTCACTGAACTTCTCTTAAACGACTGGACCGATTTTGATGAAATTTTTTGTGAGTGTTCAAGGGGATCTGAGAATGGTTTAGATTCACAATTTTGTCCGCTGGACCACCCCTATTTTTTTAGGGCGGTACGAAGTTCGCTGGGTCAGCTAGTAGACAATAAAATTTTAAAAATCTTCCAATGAAATAATCGAACGCTCAATATAAGTCTTTCGAAGGTAGCTCGACAATTTTAAATAAAAAATCATTATTCTGACCATGCAGACCTGAAAAGGCTGCGTAACGTCAATAAATAAATAAAGTTTCGTGCATTAACCCGTAAAAACTAGTTTTATTTAATGAGTGATGTGCGTGAAAACCTAAGGAACAAGTAAAATTTCAATTATCTTTATTTAAAGTCATAATAGTCAGCACTTTATTATATTATTATTATAATTAAATATTATTATCGTAACGTTAATATATATTTATATTTACATAGAAATATTTAACATTACAAAAGCTTAAAACTACTTAATGTCTAAAAACTCAAAAACCAAAAATAACTAACTATACAATTTACAAAATAAAAAATATATCACCCCCAGCGCCGCTGTCAGGAATAGTGCCCAATAGGCTGGCAGCATTGGCACGTTCGATAGCAAGGCTAATCCGTTGACCAAGATAGCTGCCAGGCTTTTGATCACCGGTCGCATCGGTGAGTCTCTTAGACAATTCCTTAAAGAAGAAACGAGCGCTTGGACTCCATAGTCCCATAGTCTCAACACCAAACGACACAAATATTTAGTTCCCATTGAGAGCTGAATATT